TAATTCTAGATTTGAAGCTTTCGTGACTGCAAGGATTCATATTCTTAGGTTTTCGGTAAAGTCACGTAGGTAAAACATTAAAATTAATAAAAGTAAAATAAAATAAAAATCACGACGTTTCGGAGGCAACACAAGCGTCCGTCTTCAGGTGGAACCGTCACAGCCACGACAGCTGTATCAAGTAAATGAGAGATTGCAGGAGCTACCACTCCGTTTATATAATGGTTGGAGAGGGGGGAAGGGCCAAGTACAGCACACTTTTTTTATTCATATGGTAAGGTAGGGCTACCGAGCTAATTACTTAGCACTGTAAATGCCTGGTAACCACACAGCGCCATGCCTACAACACCTGGCAAAAAAAATGTATTATGTTTGTGCACTCAAATCTTAAAACATTTCTAACTCTTGAGTAATCTTTCAGGGACAGCTTAAACATTTAGCAGTTCAACTTGGGGTATTAATTAGCAATCACAGTCCATAATTTTTCTAATGATAAGGCACTTTCAGTGAGTTCATAACGCTCCTGGGTATACCACACGGAATGAATAGCTCCCCTTTTGCACTGGCCAACCTAAAAGATGAGTCACGAAGTGACTTATACTGTTATGGACACGAATGATCGTAAGCATAAGCAAATGTACTTCTCAGAAGTGCACTTAGTTTTTCCTTCTTGGTAAACTAATGCCAGTTTAACTGAAATCCTTCATCAGTAATTTCAAGAATAGACACTCATTTCAGGCTGAAATGACCGAAAGGAGGTCACAGTCAAGGTGTCTCCTTGCTGAATTTAGTGTGTGGGGGGGTGGTATTCATGTTCATAGGCTTCCCTGAGCCAGTGACTTGGCAAGGTCTATTTCCACAGGACAACCACTCTTCACTTTCCACAATTTGTTACTTATTTTATTAACCCCAGCGGAATGATAGGCCAAGTTAATCCACCGCCGGGATTTGAACTCGCAACATTCCAACTGTGAATATAGTGCTCTAACCATAGTAATTGGATATTGTATAAAATAGAGTATATTAAATACAATTACAACAACAACAAAAACTTTTGCTGCATGGCTCTCAAATGCAATTTTTTTCATCTTGCAATAATGTCTCGTCAGCTTGCATCATGCATAATAAAGATTGTTCGCAAACGAGACGGCCTGTTCTTGGTGTTCTCCGTGCCACTGCCAAGTAGGGCTACCGAGCTAATTGACCAGAGTACTGTCAAACAGAATCGCCACGCGTCTCCACGCTCGAAATTTCTAAGATTCCTCTCTGCTTCTGTTGCGCTTTCAAAACAAACTTTCCGCTTATGAATAATTAATGATGGTTCAGATAATAGTACAGGGTAACTTGGAGAGTTGCAGTGTCAGCAGCTTTTGTATGGATTCACACCCGATCATGCAAATTGAGGAAACACACAATTCATCATTGCCTGTTGTTTTGATATTTGTAGGGGTTTTTTCAAAGGAAAATAAACAATTCGGTCTATGTGCCACCAAAGCCAAACGCGGAGGTACATGACATAAGCGAGAGACTTAATTATATTTGGAACTTCAATATCACGTGGTACTTTAAAACAAATGTGCTGCCCTGCATTATATTGTAATGTTCATGGTAAAAGGCAATTACACGCATACACATTATTGGCTACACATCACTCGCTGTAGTCGTCAATTCTACAAAAATAGAATTGCTCACATGTAAGACGTATTGGCGCAATAACTTGAATAAATTAGCATATTATTTATAACACATATTTAAAATTTCCATAATTCATCATCAGTCAATACTCTCCAAGAGAAGAGCCCCCGATTGATTAAGCACATTTCAGCACAGGTTACGTATGGCCTTTGGCTGTGTGGCTTACAAATATATCCCAAATGTTGGTTGTTGATTAACGCATTGCACGTTCTTCGTAACTCGACTCCACGTTCTAATGCCGAGCAATGCAACACTGCACTAATAAAATGAAATGCGGTAATGCATGCGGCTTCATTTTCTGTGAATCCGATCAGAGGTGCAGAAAAGCAGGACGTTCACTTTGAAATGCTGCTAAATTAAAACCTGTGTGGAGCCATAATTATTATAATCATACCTTAGGCTTGTTTGATCTCTGTTAACTTTAAAAGACTCACTGTTGTCCAAACATAATTAGTTGCTGGGTGGTTTCAAGCAGTGCTGAGCTTGGCTTCCAATAATAAACGGGTAATGGAAACCTCTGAAAAGCAAAACAACAGCTGACAGGGAGCTCTCTCTCTGATCTCCTGTCCTGAGGCCACGGACACACATCCTTCAACCTCACAATTCTTCTGTGGCAGAAGCTGGGCAGATAGAAACTATAGGAAGTACCGAATACCTTCCAACTAAACGTGAGTTATTTCATAAAGTAGGAAGCAATGCCCATGAAGACGTAGATATTTGGGATGGGCATGAAGTTTGTTAGATTCATGCCACTGCAGGTGAACATTTTTTAAACTAGCATTCATAAAAATAAATTACAATTCTTAAGGCTTTGTGGCTGCCTGGCATTTCGAATGGCCCCGGGCATAAGCAAGTTAGGGTAATGAAAAGCTTCCCTTTTCATTTATACTCAGCTCTTCCCTGTTATTTTGGAAGACAAGCGGATTATGGGTTTTATGTTCACTTGATAAATTTCCAACACGAACAGCCGTCCAATTGATTTATGATGTGCCATTGGTTTATATTTCGAGCCATTCTAGTCATAAGTAAAGTACTGCAATGCCTTTGATACTATTACACAGGTTTACATTGAACACGCAGCCCCTCACGTCAAGTGCAGGGCACTATAAAAGCTAATCCCAACACTTGCTGCATGCCATCAAACATGAGCTCTTTTACACTCAAGGAGCATAAACCAACTCCGGTCATCCTCACAGCGCCATTTGGCTGGCCATCGAACAAAGACGGTCGCAGCATCGTGCGCTTTCAGATCCGCTTCTGTGGCCGTCTGGAACCCCCTTCCTTCCGATATTAGGAAGCCACATGAGCTACCCACTTTTAAATATAGATTGAAAACTAATTTCTTTAGAACTGCTTTTTGTGCTTAGTTTATCCTTCCCCTGCACCTTCGATTAGCACAGTTGGCTATGGACAGTACGAAAGAAGTTCAACATACATACATATTGAACAAATATGTTTGCACGTATTTTTCACGTTTGTTTTTCAGCCAAATAGGAAAAGAATAAGAGTGTACTTGCACAGCCCATTGCCAATCTGATGTTGGATGAGTGTCTCCCCACGATGTATGGGTTGTGGGGGTTATTTGCCCATACTTCACCACACTGGTTAGCGCATGTTGGAGGAAGGTGGAAAAGATGTCCATGTGAGCATAGAAGAAAACAATGCATTTTGCTCCATTGCCCTCTGCTGCCCCCACAACGTAGTCCTGTCGCCTGTAACACCTATTATGCATCGCAATTGCCTATACAAGCACTATCCAGCCTCAATGCTGTTTAGCTTACAAAATCTGACGTGATTGGCCACGGGGCAAGTGGTTTAGTCACACGAAGGATTGCAGTGATATAATCTCGCATCATCCGTCTGCTATGGGTTCATGTTCAGAAAGTGCAGAGTTCTCAAAAGGGTTGTCTAAGTCTGCAGTCCTGTCTGATTTTTTTGTAGCAGTGATTGATCTTGATCCACAAAAGTAAGCCATTATGAGCCAATAACATTGCGAATTAATAAAAGAAAACCTGTTTTCCTGCAAGCCTCACAATCTCCACTAGAGGGTAGAATGCATCTTGCTCATTAAGGAGACGCATACAACTTCATAGGGCCAGCATAGCAGACATCAGTAGCCAAGCGTGTAAATAAATAAAAATGTGTACAATGTTTAAAAATGTCAGCTCTTTAATTATCTGAACCCAGCAAGCGACACTATGTTTCAATAATCAGAAGTGGAACTAAACAAGTAATTAAACTGTATTACCACATCATGAGACCTCCTTTGCCAGTACCAAAATATGAGAATAGATTTTCCCCTTTTTTTCTCGCAACAAAACAGCTGTGTTAAGATGCTAAAACACCAAACTGAAACCTTTTTACAAAGAATCATGTCTGCATTAACCACAATACTTGTGGTCAGAATGCAAACAGCCCGAGCTCTCATTACTCTGATAGTGGCATTGTCTTTGTGCTGTACGCCTTTTGGCGTCCTCTGGTCTAACACCGTTTTGAGACTACGCTCAAAAGAAAGATGTCACTGGTGTGGACCAATCAATTTCAAAGACAATGCATATATTATCAGAGTACGTTTTTTCTTTGCATTCTGACCACAAGTATTGTGGTTAATGCAGACATGATTCCTTGTAAAATGTTTCAGTTTGGTGTTTAAACATCTTAACACAACTGTTTTGATGCCAGAATAAAGGGGAAAACCTATTCTCATTTATTATCACAGTTCACATGTTACTCTATGAGATCTCTTTTACCAGTGGCAAAATATAGCAGTAGGTTTTTACCCTTTTAAACTGGTACAAAACTGACACCTTTATTTGTACCAGTTTAAAAGGGTACCAGTTTAAAAGGGTAAAAACCTACTACTATAGTTCACGTGTTACTCAATTACACAAGGCGAATTATAAAACGACTCAATCACGAGCTCAAAAATGTACTTTTTAAATTACACTCTGCTCCATGCACAGATGAAACTTTAAAGTACATTCGTGGGCATTGTACCAAATCATTTCAGTGTAGCATTTAGCCTCAGATGCGAATTAGGTTTCTCTGCAGTGCCGAGTGAAAAACTGAGCTGAGTTTGTAAACTGACAGCCTCTGCCTTATACCATAGATCTCTTCGGTACAAAGGTGACCTCTGCTAATAAAGAGACCGACATAACTGTGAGTAGCTTTCATTAAAACTCAACAAAAATAATTATACAAAAGCTCCCTCACCTTGAGGAAGGTGAATGTAGTAAACTAGAATGTTTTGGATGGGTTAAGTGCAGGGAATTGTGACACTATTTGATCAACACACACACACACACCTTCTGAATGTCCGCATCGTGCTTCTGCTGAAGTTTTAGCTTCTCCTCCTGAAACATGACCTCCAGAAGTTTGGTCCTCACCTCCAGCTAAACAGGACAAAATAGCAAACAAATTAAACAAAAACAAGGTACAAGGTTAAATGGGCAAAACACACTGACGGCCACTTGTTTCTCAATATAGTAGATGTAGAAGTAGTTTGCCAGCTCCGCAGCCACCACATATTGAAGTTTAACGGAGATGTTTGACATTTTCAGCCATGCAGGCTGTATTGTATGTGGGTGCTTGCACTTGTATAGAGATATGCACAATAGTAGAAAGCCTTTTAAACGTGGCAAAAAAAACCTTTTACTTGCAGGCCTTCCCCAAAGTCTGTCTTGTGAAGGCTACTTGGCTTGAAGCATCATCTCTTTTACCAACTTTATTACCTTATACATACACAGTGAAAATTTATGGGAGTTACTGACTTATTTTTCTAAAGGACCATAAATCCCTTCTGTGTCTTTCCAACCAAAATAGCCTGTCCACCGAGGCACAGACTGAGCTACGTCAGTGCCAGCAGGCGGCCTGGCCAAAGGGAGACATCAAAGAGATCTCTCAGGCTTTTGCTGTGGCAATGGCAGGCATAAATCAGCCTCGAACTGAGGGTGGTCACGGGAGGGATTTACATAGAAGCATTGTGTCCATGAACAAAATCCGCCCCTTGGACGGCACATTGAGCAGGGGAACGTTCACAGTGCTACTTCTGCACCCGGCCAAATGGGACAACGTATTCTCTTGTGCAAGCCCCCTGAGAATGAGGGGACCAGCACCATTGCAATCTCAGGAACTGGCCCTTTCTGGGGCTCAAGGGAGATGGCTGGGATGCTCGAGTAGAGTGCGCCAAGGAGGGAGGCCTGCCAGGACCACCCCTCAACATTCTGTCCAAGACCCAGCGTATAGTTTCTACTGGCTTTTCATAGAGCATGGTGACAATGGGCACAATGAAATATTAAGTTGACTGGGTTGCTCAGAAGGCTAATGCTATTGTTGTAGTCAGAGCACAGAGCCATCACTGCCAATGACCTAATGGACTGCACACAAAAACACCATTGTAATTTATCTTGGTCATTGCATTTATTTTGGTAATAACTAGCTTCAGAGAACATTATTTGGCAGACAGACACAAAGTGAAGCATGTACTCAACAACGCAGCTGCACAGACCACCATGTTGTGGTTGCATTTTATCTTTGAGAACAAAGGCCTATGATGTCATTTCCCTGTCATCGTATGTGATGAGAGGCTGTGCTGATGTTGGGGCTTCCAGGATGGAAAGATATTTGCAGTACATGTATAATTAGACTAACTAAATGTGGGCATATCGACAATGCTGTATGTGCATTAGTGACTGGGGGTGACATCATTAACTTACCTACAATATCGTGTCACTACATCTCTATTATTTACCTTATATCTGTCATTTCACTACATTTCCCTCGATTCTATCTCTCGCCTACCTGAATGTGCGTGCTACATGATTTTGCACGTCCACCGTCTGTCTCTCACATTTCACTTGGATGCATAAACAAATGTAACTATTCGGTTGAGCATTTGGATCCTGCCAGAAAACTAATTAAGGCAATCTGCAAAATGGCAGAAAGAGCTATGAAGTGTAATGTTTCTGACTTATCGAGAAAAGTTAAACAAAGGCTAAATAATCTTTTTCAGGAGATTCCTGCAATGGAATGTTACGGGGTATTTTTACATGTGGGAGTTAACTCAAGTTCTTGGAAAAACCCTCACGTATAAGAGATAGTGTATAAAACTCCCGTGGTATATGTATAATAACTGGTGCTGAAATGTATTTGACTAGTGTGCACAAAAGTATTAGTTGTGCTCATCACCATGCATTTGTAAAGTGTTGCCTTTGTGTGTTGGCCGTTTAGGATTTAGACCACAAAGATTCTCAACTCAACAAGGGGGCATCTATTCCTGGCAACCGTTGAGAAAGGGATAATCCAGCAACTTTGGCACCACAGCCCTGGCAGCAGCGGATTGCGCTCATGAACAATTTTATGGGAAACTATAGAGCGACAATAATTAGCACATGCCAGGCCAATATTAGTGTTGCTCCCATATACAAATTGTCAAAGGAACTGATGGGGCATTCAAGCTGGTGGACCTTGGACCCAAAGGCAAGTGAACTAAACAATAGTCCAGCCTCCCCATAATAATAACAATAACCACACATAATAACTTCATGATTAATATGAATCAAAGCAGAGCATTAATGTAAACAAGCGGCATGCGGCTGAACTAAATGAACCATTGCGAAAGAAAAAAAACAGCTCATGCGTGGCCTTCTGGCTAGGCATAAAATTATCCCATTTTGTTTACAAAGACGTTGAGCTTTCATCGCATTCCAGAACAGCACTTGATTATGAAGGCAATCACTTTTTATTAAATATGTCATTTCAGTCTCAATGGGATGGCTGCAATAGAGAAATTAAACAATTCCTGACACCGAGGCAAATTGTGCCAGACCCTGGCTGTGTCCCCGTGCGTTTCCTCTGAACCAAGGCACTTCAGAACACGAGGCCTACAGGGTCACACTGACCTCAGCCAGACAAATAAATTATTCTCTGCACACATTTAAATGGATCTGAGCTCAATTTTTTTGTATGCTGGTTCTTGCAACCCCTTTTGACACCCTGCATGCAAACTGTGCTGCCAAAGCGTCCCACTGCTCAAACAATTGGATGGTGGATGCTCATTTCATGTAAACCAGTAGTGGAAATTCCATATGACTATATTGGGGCCCAGAACGATCTATTTAGACAACCACTAATAATAAAATAATTATGTTTTTTTTATTTTCCTTCTACGTGACTTTACCGAAAGATCCAAGAATATGAATCCCTGCAGTCACGAATGCTTTAAATCGAAATTTAACCACTAATAACTTACCACAAAGTGTGACCTTTATTATCAACCCCGGTTGATGGGCTTAGTCAACCCGCCAGTCGGGAAATAAACTTGCAATCTTCGGCTGTACTTCACATGCTTTGACATTAGCACCATCCAATATGTGTTTGTACGAGTACCCCAATATAATTAACATTTGTTCAAGTTGTAATCAATATTGTATTGCATTCAGAACAAATGCTTTTCGGCCAAACTGTATTACAGCAATGTGTACAACTGATTACATACCAATTCAGCATGTGGCAACATCATACATGCATTAAAGTACTAAAAGAGGAAAAATATCAAAATATTCGACTGCAACTGGGAAAATAGTTCCCAAGAGCCTAACAGTTTGTTTAGCATGACCTCACCTCCTTCTTGTGCATTTGTGAAACCGTCTGTTGGTCAAGGAATGTTCCATTTCTTTCATCACCAGCCTGGGGAGTGAAGTCAGTGATACCAGCCGATTCACAGTTGTATAAATGGGCAATGGCACATCAAATAAAACCTTACCTGCACGGCAGTAGTGTACAAGTTTCAGAAGCTTCTCATTTTTGTCGACACAGTGGGCCATCATTCCAACGATTCAACAGGGTCACCAGAAGGAGAAAAAATGTCTCTCCATGGGACAAATTTGACCTTGTAATGTAAATCAGTGCTACAATAAAGTGTATTGTAATTCTTTCATATGGATGCTCCCGTGCATTACGGAGCATGTTAATGAACTATATACACTGTGTAACAATTTTTTATTGATTTCTTGTTCCTGGGTAGTAAGTGTTATTTCCTCATTGCTTATACCTCAAAAGTAGAGAAAATGGCTATTATTCCCCGCAAACTTTGCTTTTGTGACCAGGACAGTGGTATTTAGAAATTTACCTATTTTCCAGAACATTCTAGGTAGATTCAGTGCTGAGCAAACTTGGAGTAACTTCTCGAACATTCTAGAACTTTCCAGTAATATAAATAGTAGTATAAATACAGGGACCTTAAGCTCGCCAGTTCAGTTTAGTTCCAGTGGATACATATCTGCATTTTTCTGAGATGGCATCAAGAGGCTGTAAGCATCCTACAGACTCATTTTGCTATGTCTGCGGCCAATTTATCAAGACAAGAGCGAAAAAGTAGTCTGTGGAAGCGTCTGCTAAGATAAGTGAGGCCTACAAGGCATATTTCGGCATGCCTGTCGGGGATCAAGACAAACCCTGGGCACCTCATTTCACCTGCGAGCAATGCAAAAAAACTCTGGAAGGTAAGATGGACAATTGTTGCTCGGAATTTTATAAAAATTTGTTAACAATTTTAAAATGGTAAAAGTTTATAATTTTAAAATGTTTTATAATTTTCAATGTTATTAAAAAAATATATGATAAATGAAAAATGTTGCGAGAATCTCTTAAACATTAGTCATGGGTGAAATAAATGTATTTTTGTAGGATGGTACAGAGGGGAAAAGAGAGCCATGAAGTTCACTATCCCAATAATTTTGTGGGAACCATTGACCACTCAAGCAACTGCTACTTCTGCATGGTGAACCCTTGCAAACGTCACTGGCAAGAATGCACCTGCTATCACGTATCCGGACCTTTCTTCATCCATCGCCCGGGTGCCACACTGCCTTGAGCTCCCCGTACCCACTCCTCCGGAGAGAGAGCAGCCGTCTTTAGAAGAGAGCAGCAAGTCAGAGAGCGAGGAAGAAGTTGTAGATCCAGATGACAATTTCAGAGGTGGAGCTGAGGAGAGAAACCCGTACTACCCCAACCAAAAAGACCTCAACGACTTGATCAGAGATCTTGGTCTCACCAAGTCCAATGCCGAGATTTTGACATCTAGGCTCCAGCAGTGGAACTTGTTGGATGAAAGTGTGCAAGTCGCAGATCAGAGGAAGCATCACCAACCTTTTTGCAGCTTCTTCACCCGTCAAGATGGGCTCTGCTTCTGCCACAATGTTACCAGTCTGTTCGAGGCAATCGAAATCGCCTATAACCAGAATGAGGGGCGCCTCTTCATTGACAGCTCATCCAGGAGCCTCAAAAGCCGTGCTGCTCCATAATGGTAACATGTACCCGTCTCTTCCCCTAGCTCACTCGGTGTACCTCAAAGAGGATTACAACAGTATCAAGACCTTGCTGGATGCCTTGAATACGGCTGGGAGGTCATCGGAGACTTCAAAATGGTGGCATTCCTGATGGGTCTCCAAGGTGGTTTTACCAAGTTTCCCTGCTATCTTTGCCTTTGGGAAAGCAGGGACACCAAGGCGCACTACCACAGGTGGAACTGGCCACAACGGACCGAGTTCTCTGTGGGGAGGAACACTGTCAAGTGGGAGCCACTGGTGGACCCCCGGAAGGTGCTGATGCCACCACTGCACATCAAATTGGGCCTTATGAAACAATTTGTCAGAGCTGTAGATAAGGAGTCGGCAGCCTTCAAGTACCTTCAAGACTTCTTCCCTAAGCTGTCTGAGGCAAAGGTCTTAGCCGGTGTCTTTGTCGGACCACAGATAAAGAAGATCCTGGAGTGCAATAAATTCCCCAAGAAACTCACTAGTAAGGAGAAAGTGGCTTGGGACAGCTTTGTTGCAGTGGTTCGTGGCTTCCTGGGCAATCACAAGGTCGAAAACTATGTGGAGCTGGTTGAGACTCCAGTGAAGAACTACAGCAAAATGGGCTGTTGGATGTCCCTCAAAGTCCATATCCTTGATGCTCATCTTGATAAATTCAAGGAGAACATGGGAGCTTACTCGGAGTAGCAAGGTGATCGCTTCCACCAGGATATACTGGACTTTGAACGCTGCTACCAAGGACAGTAGAATGAGAACATGATGGGAGACTACATTTGGGGGCTGATTCGTGAAAGTGATTTACAGCATAATAGTAAATCTCGAAAAACTACTCACTTCTAAATCTTTTGCAGTAATTTTTTTATTACTTTAGTATAAACACATGTCAATTTTGATTCATAAGTTGTTTTTTTTCTGACATTGTGAACGATAAGACACAAATTTGCCCGTTTTCTCATTGAAAATAGGTAAATTTCAAAATATCACTTTCCTGGTCACAAAAGCAATGTTTTTGGGGAATAATAGCCATTTTCTATCCTTTTTAAGCATAAGCAATTACAAAATAACACTACCCTGGAATAAAAACTGTGTTACATAGTGAGCTATCAATGATTAAATAATGTGACAGAAGTGGAATTTAAACAAATCAGCTTACAAATGGCAAAAAGGAACGATTAAATCATGAAGAATATAACTGTGCTTTCAATATTCTACCATCAACAATGCCGTGGCATGAAACCTTGATAAATATTGTGTATGTAACAGCAGGCCTATGCACAAATAATATACAACAGCCCAAATATCTCTTGCACTAAAATCATATATTCATCATATCTACATTGATACGTGACATTGACATTGGAGCAGCATTAAAAAAAAAGGTTATGATGAATATATAACTGTTCACATTAAAATGGTGTCGGAAGCTATTTTGCAATTGTTCTGCTCCAGAAGTTTTACTTTGAAGAGGGAATGGCAGGACCTTGTCCCAGCGGTACGCAGGGCTTGTAAGACCAACACAAAAGGAACGTTATTGCATTCAGGTGAGTTACTACACAGAAGAACAGTGTCCCCCAAGCTGGCTGATTTTATCACCCGATGAAAACCAACGTCAGGCAATCATCCATATCTTTTCATTTTTGCAAAAAAGGCTATAATCATAATATGGAGTAGAGGGGGGGGGGGGCTGGGTGTGCTTTTGAGCTCGTAACAAGTGGTGCCAGTGTGCGCAGCGAACTCTGAAAAATTAATCATCACATTGTGTCAATCATTGGACAACAGCGGCTCAACTCGACTCCAAAGTATCTTACCCCAAAACGGCTGTCAAGGTCACTGTCATCAGACGAGAGTCCAGTGTGATGGTCCTGTGCAACGAGAGGACGGAGCATTCATCATTCCATCGCCTGCACACGTTGTGCGTGTCAGAGTGCACCCGTTGGAAGCGCACGAGTGAAAATTCCACTGCTCATGAGTGCTCTGTCGTTGCATTGTGTTATTGTAGAGCATGCCAGTGCGTGTTGCAAGCATGCGTATAATTAACCGTGGGCTGTCCTTTTGGTAATGACCGTTTTAATGTGCTGCTGTTTTGCTTAAGTCCTCATATATTCATCTTCTTGGTTCTTTCGGTAAAGTCACGTAGAATGGAAATAATAAAATAATAAAAATAAAACATAATAAAATAATTCTCACGACGTTTCGGCCACAACGCAAGCAGCTGTCCTCAGGTGAAGAACAGGTCTGTCGGAAAGACAGCGTCTGAATGACAGACCTGTTCTTCACCTGAGGACGGCTGCTTGCGTTGTGGCCGAAACGTCGTGAGAATTATTTTATTATGTTTTATTTTATTATTTTATTATTTCCCTTCTACGTGACTTTACCGAAAGAACCAAAAAGATGAATCCCTGCAGTCACGAAAGCTTTAAATCCACATATATTGTTCCTTGCTTTGTATTAAATTGTTCTAAATAAGGGACCCCGTGATGTTTTTGATTGGGCTTTCACCTGGCTTCATTATAGTCAACTTAAAATACCTGTACCATGTGGAGAACAGAATGGTGTTGTAGAAGAGAGGGCTGTAAGATTATCGGGCATTGTTGAACTCCCTCACATGTGTTCTATAGTATAATACAGCATCATTAACTCCAAACATGCATCACATCATCATTGTTTTATTCATAAGCTTCCATCCTGTTTCATTGCTTCTGTATATTTTGCTGTTGGGTGACACAAAGGAATTCATTACAATGGGCAGTGTTTGAAAACCTCTCTATTAGTATAAGTGCATGACATTCCACATCCAATAATGTGCCCTAATGCAATGATGTATATGATCATTCCATTTAAGAATTCCACTTTATGTTACTTATAGTATACAATTATATGGTATTGCTTTGCGAATGCAGTTATGCCTTAGAATGTTTACTGAGCATTACAATTGTTAATTTGGTTGCGGTTGTTCAAGCAGTGTTTGTATTTAATGACACATTTTCCAAAACGCAAAATCAAGTTGTACGTTAAATAGAAAAATAAAACTATCATAAAAATATCAATCCTGTTCAAAAGACCATGTTCAACAATGTTGTAAGCTTGGCAGAGCTAAGCAATCAATTATAGATAACTGTAGGTAAAAAAATTATATGACCAGCAACTGTGAAATGAAAATGAATCTTTTATCCGTGGAGGTCTGTGTGTGACGTTCAAACGACCAATGGCATGACACTAGAAAGGAACAAAATTAAATTGTGCTCCTTTGAAGAGAGGTCTTTTTGCAACTGCTGTTTTAGTCCACGCTGCATTCCTTGCGTTTTAGAAGTAGAAAGAGCAATAGGCTTCCTTTGATGATATGTCTATCCAAACGTATTAGATTAATACTGTGTTATGAGTTTAAATATTTCTGGGGCACATCCAGCAAAGCTATTACATTTATCTGCCTCAGACTCCCTGGGTTGGGATTTTTTTTACATTTTACACTGACAGAATTATCATTTCTCTGGCAGAGCACCAGTGAGTTAATAGAAGAAGTAATCACCGTCGTTCATAACTTTGGAATTCATTCTGCAAGAGGGAAGTATTCATTGTGCCATAAAACTTTGTTGACATGCGGCATTCACAAGTACGCTTATTTGAAAACACATTTAGCTGATAGACATTCCTTCTAAATGAGCTTAAATTAGAAGTCTACTGTTTGATTTTCAAACCAAAGATAACATCCCCAATCTTACTGTTAATTAGAAAACACTTTAAAATGCAAAGGTTTATACAGCAACACCAACAAAAGGAGTGTGCAGGACTCAAACGCCAAATACAGACCACAAGGCCCTGCCCAGCAATGGACACGTGCAAGGTAAAGGAAAGAAATAAACACTGGATTTGGTCGCTAGGGGTATGGAGCTGCACAGCCCTGTATCAAAGACCCTCATCGGTGTAGCTTTACCGTAATTGGCCCACTTGACTCATAAATCATTACAAACAAAATATCACCACCTGTATCATTATTACAGCACTTCCTCAACTGCTCGGGGTTGTTCTAGGTTCATGAATCCTTGTGTTTGTATAATTTAAAATGCCAACGCTCATGTAGAAGGAAATTTTGGAACCAGGACTGGATCATTTCAGCATGTGGATTGTGCAGTGGCAGAGATGAATGTCACACAGGCAGTGTGACCCCCCCGCCCTGCCCACCCCCACACCAACCCCCCTACTAACCACCCCCGCGCGTTCAAATTAAAAATGAAAGTTTGCCGCTCATGTGCACTGCACTACCTCAATTCTACCGAATAAACCACTGGGATGTAACCCAGGACATAAGTATTCCACACACATCCTGAAAAAGACTCCATATGTGCAGTTTTTCTTCAAAAGCTATTCAACATTCATGCACGGATCAGCTGCCAATTGATATGCCACTTCAGAATAACAGTGAAATCCAGACGTCTAAGAATCGGTGGGCATTGAAATCCTGAGCCGTCGGTACCTCGAAGGGAATGGAGGTGAAAATAATGAAGCTATCATGCATGCGAACCACATACACCATTCTTACCTGAGTCCTCTTGAAGGATCTCTTCAGAACCGGCCCAAGGGTGGCACTTTGCTGCTGCCTGGAAGCTCCCTCATTTTCAGAACTTGTCCTATGGTACAACATATCTTAACATCAGTAGCAGGAATGTGTAGACTAGGGGAGTTAGAAAGAGGTCATGTTTTTTTACATTATTCAATAAACTATGGAGCCAGATGGTGATAATACTAGGATGCCTGACAGGGGTCAACTTCGCTTGTCATCTTTCTAAGGCTGATAAATTACACTCTTGTGGGAAATCAAGGGTGGTCATCTTATGAAATGACGGAAAGGAAAGTGGAATTCTGCTCCACTGTCTCAGGCCTGCCAATGGAGGTGAGTGCTACCCCAATTGCTTGTTTTGAGCAGGAAGACACTTTTACTTTCCAGCATTTTCAATAAATAGATCCAAGTAGTCTTCATAATCAACGTTTTTGGGTTAGATCGCGTTATTTATAAATGTGTCGTAACCCTCCACCACCCGACACGGCCAATCAGCAAAAAAGTGTCACGTTGACAAAAGACAAATAGTTCACTGCTTTAGCCCACCGGTGTGTTGAAGCGTGAATCAACAACATTTTACATTTTTTAGTACGTTTCGCTGGTAATTGCATCCAGCATCATCGGGCAATTCTATAAATAACGCGATCTAACCCCACAAGTAGTCTGTTTTCCTATCACGGCGGTAGTTGCATTCCTGAAGAACACCGCGTTATGGAAAAATCACGTTATCATAAATAATATATTACAGGGTAAAGTACAGTCTGCAATAGCACGTGAGATGCGTATACAGGCTGAACAAAGAGTGAGGCGAGTGGGTAGCATCAAGAAGCATCCAGCAGCATCCCGCATGGTGTGATGCTACGCCGAGACAGCTGTACAACCGACTCGTGCGACGTAGTTCTGTTCACTCAAACGCGTTGTATCCAATTCGTATCCATGTCATGAAAAATGTGTTTCCAAATTGATTAATTGCGTTCCGTCCAATTTGCATTATGAAAACACGTGTTAATAGAGAACAGACTGGACTGTAATGGTCTTTAGCAAGCAAATTATGTTACGCATGTTGAGAGTGTTATTCTGTCGGAAAAAAGATGAAATCAGACCAATGTCTTTCCATATAATTAAAAAAAACATTTTAGATGATCAGTCTCTATGCCATTTCAACAAATACTTTCTAGACCAATCCTGAACCGGTATTTACTTTGAGTCTTGTCAGCAGCCTGATGAATGTTAAACAAATGCTATTGGGCTATGAAACAAACGAATTGTAATGTCACTAATAATTGTGGGATAAAAAATAAGCTCATTAAAATATGGAAACACATTATAGTCCATCGGCCTATAAACCGTATGAACATTTGTTTAAGGGGGGGGTGAACTGTAGACTGCTAAAAGTCGAAACCAGCATGAAGATTTGCCTACATTAACACATTCCTGCGGAGGGAGCTGGTAGGAACGTTGGGTTGCTCGGTCAATGGCCAGGGTCAACGGCGGCGTGGTGTATTCCGCAAATGTGCCCGGCGTGAGTAGGTTAAACGTTGAGTTTTATAAGGGCACCATGGGGTGACCAGCCCCTCCCCACCCAGCCCCACCCCTCCCACCCAGCCCTACCCCTCCCACCCAGCCCCACCCCTCCCACCCAGCCCCACCCCTCCCACCCCCCACCCAGCCCTACCCTCCCCACCCAGCCCCTCCCCACCCTTCCCACCCAGCCCCTCCTCACCCTCCCCACCCAGCCCCTCCCCACCCAGCCCCTCCCCACCCAGCCCCTCCCCACCCTCCCCTCTCCACCCAGCCCCTCCCCACCCTCCCCTCCCCACCCTCCCCACCCAGCCCCTCCCTGCACGACGGACGGACACAATAATCCCCTGTGGGCTGGTGTAACCAGGAGGTTCCTACCAGTAACAAACCCTGCAGGGTTAAACAACAAAGCAAAATGTTTACAGGCTGATGGCCAATAATGTTATAATTTTTATCGGAGAGATAAACGTATATCTGTCGACATTTCATCATCGAAAATCCTCGAATGACAGTGAATGAGTTATTTTTATCCAGATTCATCTCCTTTGGGGCTCAAGTTGCCTCTACCCTGAAAAAGATTATTGCAACTAAACAACCATTGTTCATTTTTCATAACACTTTTTATTACGGTACCATCACTTGTTAGTGTATATGCCCATGATAAAGTGGCACTTTGGACTGCAAGTCATTAACAGTATTATATTTACACGTTATAATTTGGAGTATTGATATGTTCTGCTTTGCTGCTTGTGCAGTACTTCTACTTATTGCTATTGTGTTTTAATCGAATGTTTGTTATTTTAATACAATGCAATACTATTGGATGTACATACCATAGAGTCTAAATGCGACCGAATCTCAGCAAGCCGTATACAAACAACAGTGAGAAGATATATTTTAAAATTGACAGTCACAGGCAGAGGAATAAGGAAGGTCCCGAGCGTGGACTTGGGGACAGGGACAGGGAGTCAATGACGTGGATTATTTGGGGAAAGGAATTCCAAACTACAGGAGCAGCAGAAGCTAAACGGTGACTCCGCACTGAGCGAAACTTGACTGGAGGCTTTGACAGAAAGCTTTGGAAGAGTACGTGGAAGGGAGCAGAGTGAGATGAGAGGGGAGAGGTAGACAGGGGCCAGTCCATGGATAACCTTTAACGGCTGCACTTGTTTGCTGTGTTATTGCTATTCTATTGGTATGCTATTCTGCTGAACTAAGTACTAACATAAAAGTTAAATATTTTTGCTATGAGTGAGGTTTTGGGCCTCAGCTTCAAAATAAATAAATAAACACAAATTGCTCAGATGAAACCAAAATCACTTTAGGAGGGTCATACAGGAGGGTCATAAAATCTCTGTATGACCCTCCTGGTGCTACTTTTTGTACTTTTCACAATTTGTGAAAAAAAAATTGTCAGTGTCCATGCGTTTGATCCACATAACATAACTAGCAGTACACACCGATGGGAAACTCTACTTCTGACAATATTCTCTTTTTCGTTTACACGTTCAACTTTGCAAAAGTTAATTTTGTAACAATGTGTGTATTAAATTTCGATTTAAAGCTTTCGTGACTGCAGGGATTCATCTTCTTGGTTCGTTCGGTAAAGTCACGTAGAAGGGAAGTAATAAAATAATAAAAATAAAACAAAATAATTCTCACGACGTTTCGGCCACAACGCAAGCAGCCGTCCTCAGGTGAAGACCAGGTCTGTTGGGGAGACAGCATCTGAATGAAACACCACCACACTTGGAGCGTATATTTAAGCTTGATATGCAAATTATTTTGTCAAGGCGCCCTTCCCCCCTTCCAACCCAGCTTAAATATACGCTCCAAGCGTGGTGGTGTTTCATTCAGACGCTGTCTCCCCGACAGACCTGGTCTTCACCTGATGATGGTTGCTTGTGTTGCAGTCGAAACGTCGTGAGAATTTTATTGTTTTATTTTTATTATTTTATTACTTCCCTTCGACGTGACTTTACCGAAAGAACCAAGAAAATGTGTGTATTGTTAAAATAGTTGTGAATCAATCTTATCACTAGTTGTACTGAACTTACTGCCGGTGGAAAAATCTCTCGACATTTGCTGATGACTAGGGGTGTAATGATTCCCCCCTCTCTGGTGCTTCAGAAAACTGTTGAGGTTAAGGGTCACGGTTCAACTCCAGAGTCGATTGTTTATTTTAACACAGCGGTAAATATAGTGACCTCTAACGCCTGGAAGGGTCACGTGTAACATCACTGCACACAACGTACAAGGATCGAAAAACAAAAGATTATAATTCGCGCATTTCTATGCATGAATGGTGAACTTAGGAATATACTTTAAACGATAAATACTCCTCACAGCTGCTGTTTTGTTTTGTTTATATATTTGCCTCCATTTCACAGCTCCACCTTCAATTTAGTCATGCAGTCTTTTTCATTTTACCTTTCAGCCACCCTTCTATTTTACTGGTATGAAGCCTCAACTGTCACCCCTCATAAAAGTATATTCCACGCACATCAGATTGTTTTCTCAATCATTGCTGTGAAAAAAGGGTTTTACAATTATTAACATGATTAGGGGAATTTGAAAGTTATTGTCCATATTTCAGACTTGTTAGAAGATAACCTGTCACGGGCTGACTCTTTGTAGTGGGACACTCACAACCTCCAAGACAGCTCGGATATACTCTGGGGGTCAGAAATGTCTCACAGCAGGTTTGTAATTTGGGCATGACACCAACGCGTTGGTGGTCCATGCTGCACATTCTGTCACAAAAGATCTTACGGCACAGCAGGACATGTGGCATGGCCTGTCACAGAAGATACTGGGCTTATCGTCTGCTCTGAAGGACAGCACTTTCACATGAGCGTCCACTCTACCAATTTTGACGACACAAACCCTCAATCACACCTCAACCAAGGTGTGGGTTGATGCTCAAAATGCACAGTGGGGCTCATATCCAAGCTGGCTGCTAAAAAGTTTAAGGGTCATGGTTTAGGTCCCATCTTCAATTAAAACACACTAGAAGAGTGGATGCTGAGGTTGGAGAATTAAAAAAATCACAACCATCATCAAAAGAGATAATGGTTAAAAACTTACAAATGGCATGGATGGCATCTTCATCTCCGTGGCTTACATATGAATGTGAGCACATAAAAACACCAGTTTTGTTGTGACCCAGACATACGGCACTCAGAATACCCAGGGATAGGAAGGCTATATCTGGTTTGGCTCACATTTGGCCTGCATTCCAGTCAAAGTGGACGTACTAAACAAAGAAGTACAGTTTATAAATAATGTGATCTTCTTTCCAATAAAATGCATATACTTCATGAAACAACATTTTTGTTTGAAATGTAAATAATTGGCCATTTTATTAGACACCTGAAAACTATTTACCCATAATATCACTCACCACTGATGTTATCTGTGGCTGGAAATCATGCTCATGTTAGCCAGTTTTACAGGGCAAGTGCGTTAACGACCGTGTCACCACTATGCCCTGATCAATGTAACATGAAAACAAATATCCGAATTTATGTTTTATAATCAATAGCATGC